GTGATACAGGGATACAGGGTGTTTTTCCCAAAAAATAGAAATTTCCCAGTGGAATAAGATCAGAAAGAGACTTCAGAGATGTCCATGTAAGCATTTATTGGGTTGGAAATGTGGTGTGGTTTCCATCCCAGCACAGGGCTGCACCCCAAACAGGCACAGTGAGGCAGGAATTGCTGCTCCAGTTGTGCGAGGCTGCACCGCCCTGCCGGCTGAAGCTGAGGGCAGCAAAAGGCACCTCCTGCACGCTGAGAGCCTTGCTCCTTACCTGGACACAGAATCTACTGCTTGATCAAGGAAAAAAACTGATATTAAAAAAGGCAGCAAGTGCAGAGTTAGTCTGAAAGCCAGGAGTGCCCTACAGTTCCCTTTTCCCAGTCCTTGGAGATTTTCCAGGAGGTGATTTAAAATCTAAATGTGTGAGCGGCTCTGCTGGTGGATTTATTTATTTTTTTTAATCAGTAGGAGCACTCAGGAATTCACTCCATGAGTTTACATTCAAGGAATTCGGGTGTGTGGGTGCACCCAGGATGGGTCCCCTCGAGGTGGGCGCTGCTGAGGGCTCCGGAACCTTCCTGAGGCAGCGGGAAGGATCCATTCCCAGCGGCACAAAGAGCTGGAAAAGAGGATTTCACCCCGTGGGACAAGGCCGGGCAGGACCCTCAGAGAGGAACCTGCAGGTTTGTTTCTGTTTGCATGGAGGGAGCCGCCCGTGGCAGGTGCAGGACACCACAGGGTGGATCTCTCCAAGACACCTCCGGGCAAAACCCGCATGGGATGGGGCTGGGCAGGACCCTCAGAGAGGAACCTGCAGGAATTCACTCCATGATTTACATTCAAGGAATTCGGGTGTGTGGGTGCACCCAGGATGGGTCCCCGGGAGGCGGGCGCTGCTGAAGGCTCCAGAACCTTCCTGAAGCAGCAGGAAGGATCCATTCCCAGTGGCACAAAGAGCTGGAAAAGAGGATTTCACCCCGTGGGACAAGGCTGGGCAGGACCCTCAGAGAGGAACCTGCAGGTTTCTTTCTGTTTGCATGGAGGGAGCCGCCCGTGGCAGGTGGAGAACATCCCTCCACATCTCTCCAAGACACCTCCGGGCAAAACCCGCGTGGGATGGGGCTGGGAAGAGCTGCCAGGCCACGAGAGGACCCAGTGGAGCAGAGGAAGGCTGAGCTGCAGCCCCCGGAGCCGCTCACGGCGCGCTCCCGCCGCCAAAGCGCGGCCGGATCTGGAAGGCCTCGCACTTCTTGTACTTCATGGTCAGCCCGTACTGCGGCGTGGCGTCCACGCGCTCGCCGGGCCGCAGGCTGAAGCGCAGCTGCTGCAGCAGCGTGGTGAGGAAGAGGAAGATCTCCCAGCGGCCGATGGTCTCGCCGAGGCAGCGGCGCCGGCCCAGCCCGAAGGACAGCACCTTCTCGCTCTCGGCGCGGCGCAGCTCCGCGCCCGCCGCGCTCAGGAACCGCTCGGGCCGGAAGGACCAGGGCTCCTTCCACAGCCTCCTGCGTGCGAGAAACACCAAACATTCCCTTTTATGATTTTTAGAAGTTGGAGCGTAATGACATGGTTATAAAAATAGAATTAGAGGAATAAAATTTGAATAATTGAGGTTAGGACAATATGAGGCTGTAGCCATGATATTTTAGTGAAAAATCCTCTGCTGGGATTTTTCCTGTCCTGAGGAGCTGAGAGCCTCAGGAAAGAAATGTAAACAATAACTGTGTGCTGCTGTGGAATGCCACAGGTGCATCTTCCATTGGTCCACGTGGATTGTTTTCAATTAGTGACCAACCACAGCCACAGCAGTCACAGGATTTTGTTATTGATTCCTATTCTATTCTTGTCTTGGTAGCCTTCTGATCTTCTTCTCTCTGTTCTTTTAGTATAGTTGTAATGTGGCATTTTAATATAATATATAACATAATAAATCAGCCTTCTGATGAAAATGGAGCCAAGCCTCGTGCCCTCACACAAGGGGTTGCCTAAACAAGATGAGACAATAAAAACAAAGAGTTACAGACATCCAGAATATATAACATAATTCATCAGCCTTCTGATGAAAATGGAGTCAAGCCTCGTGCCCTCACACAAGGGGTTGCCTAAACAAGATGAGACAATAAAAACAAAGAGTTACAGACATCCAGGCACCTTTTTCTGGGCAAAATAAGCTCAAGAAAGGACACATGTTAACAGAGGATTAACCCTTAAAAGCAACAGCCTGTTGCATGTTCATACACCTCACATGTATGAGGTGCATAAATTCCATTCAAACATAAATATGCATAAATTCCATTCAAACACAGGATTCTGGCTGGTCAGTGTCAGCTTCTTCCTCTGAATCCTGACAGGAAAAGTTGGTTTCTTCTGACAATGGAGCAATAAATTCTCTTTCTCTGAAAGATTTAGGTGCCCTGTGGCTGCTATCTTGGTGCAAGTACCTCATTCCTCTCTTTAAAAAAAGTACTTTGCCTAGCTTCTAGTTTGACATTGTAACTTAAAACTCTATCTTCCTAATATCTTAAGGAAATTAATACACCATAACTTTCTAACATAACACATACAATATTCATTTTAATATTTGCAAAAAGCCAGTCATAAAATAGGCATTTTTCACACTAGGACACAGAGGGGACACTGCTGAGGGTTTGGTCACAGGGTCACACAACAGCTCGTCCAGTGCCACCCCTGCCATGGCAGGGACACCTTCCACCATCCCAGGGTGCTCCAAGCCCTGTGCAGCCATAGGAATGTTCCCCCTGTTGATGGAGTGACCAAACCATCCTTTGTCTCCTTAAAAAAGAAAAAAGCCCAGAAGTTTCTTTCCTTAATTAGCAAGGAGGACACCTCACAGGACCTGGGGGGCTTCATCTCAAACTTAAGGATAGCTAACTGGACAGGAGCCAAAAAGTCCAGCCTGAGCAATTTACCAGAAAAAGAAGAGAACAAATAAACTAATGGCTTTTGTGAGGTGTTTTACCAGGAGCAGGAACCTTGCACCTGGCTTGGTTTTCCTCTGTTATTTTGCCTTTTATTAAAACTTTTCTGTTTCCAACACTTTCACAGAAGCCATCCTGCTGATTTTATCCCTTCTAAGGCAGCTGAGCTGGATGTGATGTAGATCTCCAAGAGCTCTGAGTCCTGGCTCCAAGAGACCACACATCATCCAGCCTGGCTTGGACACTTCCAGGGACCCAGGGGCAGCCACATCTCCTGTGCCAGGGCCTCCCCACCCTCCCAGGGAGGAATTCCTTCCCAATCTCCCATCCGTCCCTGCCCTCTGGCAGTGGGAGCCATTCCCTGTGTCCTGTCCCTCCATCCCTTGTCCCCATTTCCTCTCCAGCTCTCCTGGAGCCCCTCCAGGCCCTGGCAGGGCTCTGAGGTGTCCCAGCTCCAGAGCCTGGGTTCCAGCCCTGGGGCACTGTGACAGTTTTGACACCTGCAATGGGGTCAGTGGCCAAAACCCCTCCTTGCAGAGAGCTTTGCAGCACTGCCTCACTCCACCACCCAAACCCACCCCTGGCAAGCCCTGGCCCTGATCTACAGCACCAGCTCGTGTCACACTCCATCAGCTCAGCCCGTTGAAACCCCAGCTCCAGGCTCGGGCTCTGTTTGTCTGGCCAGACACCAGAGATGGATTTAATTCCATCCATTTAATCCCAGCAGCCAGAGAACCTGCAGCTTCAGCACGGGATGAGCCAGCAGCCCTTCAAACAGGGAAAATGGGGACCAGGAGGGGTTTCTTGTTTTGAATCCTCTCAGCAGAACTGCCCAGCCTGTCCCATGGCAGCTGCTGGGAGGTGCCAGGTGGGATTTAACAGTGTCTCAGCTGGGAATTTCTGCTGGGATACAGGGAATCCTAAGAACAGCATTCCCACCCCACGTCCATGCAGGAGCAGGAGGGATATCAGGAGGTTTCTGGACTCTTTGGGTGTTTGGATACAAACATCTTGAGCTTTGATCCAAAACAGCCCCTCTGGGAACCCCCTGCTGAATCCCTGCTGGAATGTCTCTGCTGGGAAGCAGTGGAGGGGCAGGATGGGGCTCTGCTTCCCAGTGCCCCCACCATTCCCAAAGTGGATTACCAGCAACCACAGCACGATCCCATCCACTTTAACAGGGTCACGTCACCACATTTCTCTCCCTCAGAAAGGGGAGTGAGCAATTCCCATTGAGCACACCCAGAGCTGTCAGCTCGGATCACAGGATCTGCTGGGCAGCAGAATTTCTGATTCCTGACTATCCAGCAGCCTGAGCAGCACATCAATTAGATAATCCCTGGTGCCAGGGAGCTGCTGGACCAGGGGCCAAGTCAAGCTGGACCAGCTCCATGCCCAGCAGAGCCGAGGCTGGGCTCAGCATCAAACCCACACCATTTTTGGTCCAGTCTGCCCTTCCGTACATGATCCAGTAATTTTTTGGCACGAGGGTTGGCGTGATCTGAATGCCAAGAGCAGCCACAGCAGCCCGGATGAGCAGGGGGGTTTGGGATACTCACTCGTCGTGGTTCACCTGCCACTGGTTGATGAACACACAGGTGTCCTTGGGGATGTAGTAGCCGTTCAGCACGGTCGCTTTTGTGGTGCTGAAGGGAACAGAGGAGTTAGAGGAGATCCACAGCTCCTGACAAGCCAAAGCCCAGCGAGTCCTGCAGGGGTTTCATCTTCAAAGCCCTATTTGTGCCCTCAGGACTGGCTAGGAAATACCCCAGATTGTATTTGGGACGTTTAACAGTCTTGGTTTCACTTTCCTCCAGCAGAAAAATTCCAGTTTCACTTCACAGCTCGTTCCAGATGAGTTGTGATGTGGTTCTTCCCAAGCAAGGATGAAATATAAACCCAGGGGTGCTCTGCCAGCAAAGGTTTGTGGGGTGAAACCACCCTCAAAACAAAGGATTCAACCCCAGAGGGGCAACAACTTGAATATTTCCCCCTCACAGGGATCAAGTCCCCTCCAAAAACCCCAAAGGAGGTGTGGGCCGCTGCAGCCCGTACCTGTGTGGGATGGTGAAGGGCAGGAAGGAGGAATGCCTGAACATCTCCAGGATGAAGGCTTCCGTGCCATGGACACCCAGGGATGGGGAAACCTGCCTCAAACGGCTCGGGGAGGGAATCACTGCAGCTCAGAGGCCTCCTGGGGGCTTTGCTGGGTGGGCAGGGAGTTCTGGATGCTGAGAATTTCACACTTTCTGTGCTGACAGACTCTGACTCCCAGGAGAGCACTGCATTTGACCTGAGGCTGTGGAGAAGGCTTCCAAAATTCATTGATTGCCCTGGGATTATGGGTGTGTGGTTGATTGGAAGTGTGTGATGTCACAGGGTAGAAAACAGAGTTTGGAGTTTTAGAATACAGTAATATATAGCGAGCAAGTGGAGGTTTTAGGGCAGAGGCAGGTTGTTCTTCTTTACCTTCTTCTTCCAGGGTTTGGGTGGTATTTTGTAATTGGCAATTTTGTAATTCGGTGTCATTTCTTAATTGGAGAGTTTAGCCTTAAAAGACCTTGTAGCAAGAGATATTTAGTTATTTTGTGCCTTTTTAATGAAAGACTGCAGAACTCACTGCTGTGAGACTGCAACATAGACAAGAAATAAAAAACATCTGAGCCTGAAGGTGAATTATGGTCTAAACAGCCTTCAATCCCAACCTCAACAGAGGCAGAAAAAGGAAGCAAAGAACCAGCAGCAGGGGACACTTGCAGGCATCTCCACCCCCATCCAGGAGCTTCCAAGCCCTTACCTTGTCAAAGCTGCTGTAGTGCTCCTGCACAATTTTCTGCACGAAGGCGTTGAAGCGCCGGTTGATGTCCTTGAAGACCTCCAAGCTGACCTCAACCTGTCAGAGACTTTGTGGCACCCCTTTCCCCGCAGCAGACCCTCAGGTATGAACCAAAGATGGGTTAGGAGCTGGGGTGGACTCTGGGCTGAGACACCTGGAGCTGTGACAGCGCAGGACAGGAGAGGGGCAGAGCTGGGCTTCACTTGTGACCCACAGCTGTCACACTTCAGGAAACTCCTCACATTAAAAACCGGGTTTTTGCTAGCCAGGAGTGGAAGGAATGGGTCCCCCAACTTTTTGTCTGCATGCCAGGGAAGCAAAGGTGCTTTCTTAACCACAGGATCTTTTCTTCTCAAAGTTTTTTCCAGAGCTCTTGGCTAGAGGAGAGCTGATCCTGATTTGAGGACCACCGAGCAGCAACCACTCCCCAGCACATGAAACACAGCAGTGCCAGGGATCGTCCCTGAGATCCGTGGTGTGAAAAACAACCCTGCCTGCAGCGGGGCCAGCGGGATGGGTGCCCCCGCTCCCAGCTCTGCCAGAAACCCTGGATTCATAGAGTCCCCCAAGTTGGAAAGGACTCCTAAGGATCATCGAGCCCAGCTCCCAGCTCCTCACGGGGAAAAGTCCTTCTGAAAGCCCCGAGCAGGGCTGGGAGGAGGCTGGCTGTCAAATCCCCCCTTCCCTCGGGTTCGGCAGGGTGCCACAGCCACCCACGGGACACCTGCGGGGGAGATTCCGGGGGCCCTGGGGACCTCGCAGGCAGCCGGTGCCGCCCAGCCAGGACCCCTCCCCAGCTCTCGGCAGCGCAGGACCCGCAAGGGGGGCACGACCGCCGGGACCCCCCAAAACCTCCTTCCAGCAGGTGGGGGGAGGATGCTGCTGGGGTCGGCGGGGCTGTGCATCACCGGGGGATGCTGGCAGAGCCCCCAGCCCCGTCCCTGGCGGTGCGGTACTCACCTCGGGAGCGGTGCGGAGCGGCGGGAGGGGCCCGGTCCCGCGGCAGGTGCCCGCCCCCCGCCGCTCCTGCTTTATATGCATCGCCCCGCGCGCTGATTGGCCGGGCCGCCTCCCGTCACGTGACCCCCCCAACTCCCCAAGAACTCCCCGGACCCCCCCAGGCCCCCCCAGCCCAGGCTGCGCGGCAGGCGGGGGCAGGGTTAGGGAAGGGAAAGGGGGTCCCGAAAAGTCGTGGCGTGGGGTGCGGGGGTGGGGGGGTGCCGGTGCCGCCCGTGGGTTCCAGCCCGGGGCGGGCATCGCGTGCGAGCAGGGCGGGATGTTTGGGCAAACCCGCACCGCCCCGGTCACTCCAGTCACGCTACCGGCAGGATCTTAAAGGCGCCGGGCCCGCGCCCCGCCGCTCCCCAGGACCCCCCCGGGGGCCGGCCCGGCTGTCCTGCTCGCCCCCAGACCCAGAGGGCTCCGTGCGGCCGCGCCCCGCTGCCCGAGCCCCGGGACATCCGCGGTGTGCGGAGCCGCGGGGACAGCGGCAGCGTGGGAAAACGCCCCGGGCAGCGGCGTGCGGGCCCGGAGGGGGGGATTGAGGGATTCAGCCCCCTCGGGGCTCCGCGAACACGCGGGGATGGGCGCGGACCGGCCCCCGCGGGGTTCAGCAGCTCCGCGGGGCCGTGCCCGCTGTGCCCGCTGTGCCCGGTGAGCAGAGCGCGGCCACCGCCCCGCGCCTGTCCCCCCACAACGCGCTGCGGGACCACCCCACGGCTCCACGGGGACCCCGCGGGGACGTGGGCGGCGGGGCAGCCCCGGGGGTCACGGCCCTGGCTGCCCCGGCCCGGTTAAAGATTGTCCAGGTTCGCGTGAGAAGCCGCCGTGCCCTGTGTCACCTCTGTCCCCTGGGGACAGGGCGACCCGAGGGGCGAGGTGGGGCTGGGATGGGGCACAGGGCGCAGCCGGAGGGAGGGGCGGGTGTTCAGGGTCCGAAGGGGGGCTCGGGCAGAGTTTGCAGCCCCCAGCCCCGCTCCCCGCGGGGTGACAGGCCAGGTCGCGCCCTGCAGGGAGGACAAGGGGGACCAGCCCGCTCCCAAAATCTGTCCCTGCCGCCCGCAATCCTCGCTCCCAGCCCAGCCGCCACGAGGTGGGAGATAGGCCAGGGGGTCCCGCCCCGCCGGGGGGTCCCAGAGGTGGCATTAGGGACATCGCGTGCGAAGGGGTTCCGGCCAGACCCGGGAGGACCGTCCTGGTCACTCGCAGTCACGCTATGGGTGGGTGGGGGGGGAAATGGATTTTAAAGGACCAGGGCGGTGGCCTCCCGTCCAGGAGCCTGGCCCGGGGTCAGGGCGGCGCCGGAGCAGCTCAGGAGCAGCTCCCCCCACGGCTGGCTGCGGGCTGGGGAGCTCCTGGGGGTCCCCAGCACTGGCGACAATCGTCGGTGTCTCTGCCGCAGGATGCTGCATCACCTGCGAGGGGACGGCGCTGCCGCTGTCATTTGTGTCCCCTCGACAGGACACGGTCATCCCAGCCCTTTCCAGCCGCGAGGGGAGTGCCACCTGAAGTGTCCCCTCTCAGCGCCCGGCGACACCGAGCGGTGCCCGCGCTGCGGGGCTGCTGACCACGAGTGTCACCAAGGTGCCCCACGGCTGGGGACACTCGTCGGGGCGTCCGTAAATCCCGGCCGGGGACGGCTCTGGCACCTCGCACAACGCCGGGCACAACGCTCTGTGTGTCTGTCCGAGTGTCCCCGCGTCCCTCCCGAGCGCCCACGCCGTGTCCCCGCACAGACGCGCCCTGCACGCACGGAGCCCCTCCGTGTGCGGGGACAAGCTCGGGGACAGGCTCGGGGACAGGCTGCCAGCCCCCTCCGTGTCCCTGTGCGTGCTCGTGCCACACATGCCGTGCCACGCGTGCCTGCGGGCACCGTCACCCTGCCGCTCCCGCCCGTCCCCGCACGCACAGCCCGATCCCCACCGCGGGGCCGTGACCCACGGAGGGGACAGCGACACCCGGCAGGGACAGGGGCTGGCAGCGTCCCCGCGGCCGCCCCACGCAGCGCCGGGGACCCGCGGGCTCAGCGAGGGGCGGCGGCAGGGGCTGGGGGCGGTTTTGGGGTGTTTTGAGGGTGTTTTTGAGGTGGTTTTGGGGTGTGAGGCTGCCTGGCACGCAAGGCAGCAGCTCTTAACGCTGTTCTCATCAGGAGGCATCCTGCCCTGGCACGGCTTGGCAGCCACCGGGGTGGAAGAGGGTCCTGGGGAACCTCTCCGGGACTCTCCCCAAATTCTCCGAGTTTTGGGATGCGATGGATGAGGAGTGGGTGGGTTCAGCAGCAGCACAAGGTCTGAAATGCTGCTGGGAAGGGCGGGGGGTCACTCAGCCCCCAGCCCCAACCCTGCCCCATGCCGTGGGTCCGGGTAGATCCACAGGGATGGGAGATGCAGCAGCCGGACAAAGCCCGCTCCTGCAGCCTGCCTCCCCAAAAGCGATCCCAAGGGTCCTGCCGGGGCCGGGAGGGCTGCGGCATTCCCGGGAATTATCAACAAGAATATTAGCAGCCGGCGTTTTGTAATTGTTCTTGCCAAACATTAATGAACGGCGTCATTGCTATTAACGAGCCTGATTAGACCAGATGTTGAAAGCCTTTATTAAATATTAGCTCAGCTTTTACCTGGGCCAAATTCCCCCTGGAATTTCCGAAGATTGAAGGAAACTTTGGGCCAAACCCCCAAGCTCGGCTCATTCCTGCTCATCCCAGCTGCACTTCCCAAACTGCCCCGCCTGGAGAAGCAGCCCCGCTGGCTCGAGCATTTCCCTGTCGGGTGTCACCCAATGTTTTGGAGGGATGAACACTGCCCCAGCCTTGCCCCGTGCTGCCCCTTCACCTCTCCTATCTGCCGGGCTCACCTCCTCCCCTCTGCCCCGCCACTCCTCCTCCTCCTCCTCCTCCTCGCTGCCTGTTTGCCCCGGAGGAGCCGGGGGAAGCGAGCCAGCCGCCTTCTCACGCAAACCTGGCCAATCGTTAACCTGAGCCTGGCTCTGCCCCCGGCCAGGATGATCCTGCTGCCACCGCTCCCGGGACCTGCCCCGTGGTTCCCCAGGGATGGATGAGCATGGCTGTGGATGCCTTGTCACAAACGTGTCCCCTCGCTCACAACCTGCAGCTCCCAGCACCTCCAGAGTGGCCATGGAGGTGACAGCTCTCTCTGGCTGCTGGGAACAGTCTGGCCAGCCCAGAACAGCTTTTTGGGGAAATACTGGCACCCACATTCCATAGGCAAGCAATGCTGACAACAGGTCCTACATCCTCCCCAAGGCAGGCTTTAGGGACTCCCTTCTTCCTCCCAGTCCTGGGGACCCCCTTCTGCCTCCCCAGAGCAGAATCCAGGGCCTGGCCCGGGAGGAGAAGTCACCATCCATGGCCCAGAGCCTGCTGGAGGGGGGAGAGGCTCTTCCCTGGCGTCTTGGGCAGGCTCCAGCCAGGGTCAGCCCCGCTCGTTAATGGGTAGCTATTCCCAGAGCGTTTGCAGCGGGAGGGGGGAGATAAATACCCGGTGGTGCAGTGAGGAGAGAGCTTCGACAGCCGTGGACGTCCAGGGGGCAGGAGAAGGAGGACCAGGCAGAGGAGAACGAGGTGACAGGAGAAGAAGGTTGAGGAGACAGAGGAGGATTCCTGCTTGCTCCTGGTGCCAATCCCCACCAGGAGCCTAAAACCAACCAGGTAGGAGACAGACAGTGTGTTTTGGGAGGGGTTGAACATGGATGTAGGACCAGGGAGGTCACATTTGGGTGCCCCTGCTCTCCCAGTGAGCTGTGTGTTCCCACAGAGCAGCCAGAAGAGGTTTGAGCCCTACCGGTACCTGGTGGTGTCGGTGGCCAACGTCATCTGCGCCATGTGCTTCGGGAAGCGCTACGAGCACGAGGACCAGGAGCTGCTCAGCCTGGTGAATTCCACCGAGGAGTTCACTGACGTGGCTGCTGCTGGCAACCCCGCCGACTTCATCCCCGTGCTGCGCTACCTGCCCAGCCGCAGCATGAGGCTGTTCATAGACTTCAACAGGTACTTCGTCAGCTTCCTGCAGAAGAGGGTCAAGGAGCACTACGAGACCTACGACGAGGTAAGGGCTTGCAGGAGCCTCTGCTCTCCTCCCCTCTCTGTCAGCGAGCTGTTTGTGTTCTGGCAGCCAAGCAGCAATGGCCGTTGTCTCTCCCCAGTCCTCCTTCTCACAGAGTTGTAGGATATTGTGGAATCATGGAATGTCCTGACTTGGCTCACGTATGGATCATCCAATCCAGCCCCTGGCCCTGCACACACACCCCCACAATGCCACCCTGAGCATCCCTGAGAGCATTGTCCAAAGTGTCCTGGAGCTCTGGCAGCCTTGGGGCTGTGCCCATTCCCTGGGGAGCCTGGGCCGAGCCCCACCACCCTCTGGGGGAGGAACCTTTTCCTGGTGTCCCACCTGAACCTCCCTGGTCTCAGCTTCATGAGCCTCTCAGCGTCTCCTCCCTTCCCTGTGTGATGTGGCCAGTCTGGGGGCTGAACCTCGTGTTCCTCGGAGAACCCTCTCCTTGTTTCCACACAGGGACCCTGGGAGATAAGAGACGATGCTCCCCAGAGCTCATGTGGCCCCAGGTTCCCCCAGCACCGGGCAGGGCTGCCCAGGAGCACCCACCCCTCTGCAGCCCTGCCCCATCACCTTGTCTCCTCTTCCTCCCAGAACAACATCCGGGACATCACGGACTCCCTCATTGAGCAGTGCCTGGACAAAAAAACGGGAACAAACACGGCCACGCAGATCCCCAAGGAGAAGATCGTCAACCTCGTGAATGACCTTTTTGGAGCAGGTATCCTCCCACCTTTCCTCAGCTCTGGCAGAGGCTCTCAGGTTTTCTCCAGCTCCTCCTGTCTGACCCTTCCTTGTCCCGCACCAGGCAGCTGGTTTGGGTCTAAGCACTCGCTCTCCTGCTCACTGGGATACCTCCAGAGACCAGTCTGGGACCTCAGCTCTGGAAAAGTGAAGGGCCTGGGTTATACAGCTCAGCTGATCCTCACAATCCACAGCGTTCTTTCCTGGCTGAGGGAGATGTCTGTGGGCTGATTCACCTTTCTGTGGAAATTCCCCCAGTTCTGGAGAAGCTGTACAAACCTGACACAACCCAGCAGCAGGACAGGCTGAGAGAGCAGAATATTTTAGCAAAGTTTATTATGGCAGAATAATGCCCCAAGCCTTGCAGCGTGCCCAGGATGTCCCCTGGCTCCTCAGCCAGCCCAGACGGCCCTGTGTGACGGCCAGCCCTCAGGCCAGGGTGGGCGCTGTGCTGAGCTCACCCACACCCCATCCTCTTTGCCCAGGCTTCGACACCGTAACCACAGCCCTGTCCTGGAGCCTCATGTACCTTGTGACAAACCCCAACATCCAGAGGAAGATCCAGGAGGAGCTGGGTGAGTCCAGGACCCGCATCCCCCGGGCCCAGCCCTGTGTGCTCAGCCCTGTCTGAGCCTGTTGCTGCTCCACCTCCCCAGACCGCACCATCGGGTGGGAGCGGCGGCCGCGGCTGTCGGACCGGGGCACGCTGCCCTACACGGAAGCCTTCATCCTGGAGATGTTCAGGCATTCCTCCTTCCTGCCCTTCACCATCCCACACAGGTACGGGCTGCAGCGGCCCACACCTCCTTTGGGGTTTTTGGAGGGGACTTGATCCCTGTGAGGGGGAAATATTCCAGCTTGTTGCCCTTGTGGGGTTGAATCCTTTGTTTTGAGGGTGGTTTCACCCCACAAACCTTTGCTGGCAGAGCACCCCTGGGTTTATATTTCTTCCTTGCTTGGGAGGAACCGCATCAAAACTAATCTGGAACGAGCTGTGAAGTGAAACTGGAATTTTTCTGCTGGAGGAAAGTGAAACCAAGACTGTTAAACGTCCCAAATACAATCTGGGGTATTTCCTAGCCAGTCCTGAGGGCACAAATAGGGCTTTGAAGATGAAACCCCTGCAGGACTCGCTGGGCTTTGGCTTGTCAGGAGCTGTGGGTGTCCTCTAACTTCTCTTTCCACCTGTGTTCCCTTCAGCACCACAAAAGTGACAGTGCTGAATGGTGGTGGGCTGGCAGAGCTGCTCCAGGGACGAGGTGGCCTTGAGGCACCACATTACAGCTCATGGAGGACACAACTGTCCCCCCAAACCACCCCTTTGGAGCAGCCTGGCAGTCCCCTGAGGATGCAGAAGAACCTTTGGGCTTGCCCAGCTCTCCATCTTTTCTCTCCCCAGCACCACCAAGGACACGGTGTTGAACGGCTACTTCATCCCAAAGGATCGCTGCGTGTTCGTCAACCAGTGGCAAGTGAACCACGACGAGTGAGTACCGTGGGAGGCACAAACCCTCCTCTGCTGGCAAACAGGTCCTTTCCTGTGCTGACAGACAGGTCCCCTCCTGCAGTGACAAGCAGGACCCCTCCCGTGGCGTCAAACCATCAAGGAAGTTCTTCCCGACAGTTCCCACCTTCCAGTGTCCCCCCCACACCCACGATCAGGAGAAACCATCTCACCACTGATGTTCTCCTTCCAGGAAGCTTTGGAAGGACCCAGAAACCTTCAACCCCGAGCGTTTCCTCAGCGCTGACGGGACCAAAGTGAACAAGGAGGACGGGGAGAAGGTGCTGGTGTTTGGCCTGGGGAAGAGGAGGTGCATCGGGGAGAACATTGCCAGGTGGCAGGTGTTCCTCTTCCTGGCCACGCTGCTCCAGCAGCTGGAGTTCAGCGTCTGCGAGGGCGGCAGGGTGGACATGACCCCGCTCTACGGACTGTCCCTGAAGCACAAGAGGTGTGAGCACTTCCAGGTCAGGCAGCGCTTCCCCACGAAGGGCAGGAGCTGAGTGGTGGGAGCAGACAGCCCCAGGGTGTCCTGGCAGCAGAGCTGGGTCTGGAACGACTTTGTGGGGTGATGGGATAAACTGAAACCGTCAGGACTTCTGCTTTATCTGCTTCATTTTGTAGCAGTTGTTGCCCGTTTTGCTTCCTGGTGTTTCTGTTGTTGGATATTCCATTAAATGTTGGCTGTTCCACCACACCCCGTCTTGGGCTGTATCCTCTGGGAGTCACTCTCTGATGGATGCAGGACAGCCAACCCATGCCACAACCCCACAGCCCCCACTGGTGCTTCAGAATTACAGAATTTTAGGATTGTTTAAGTTGGAAAAGGCTTTATTATCGTCAAGCCCAGCAGTGCCAGGGCCACCACTAGCCCGTGTTCCCATGTGCCACATGTTTTAACACCCCCAGGGATGGAGACTCCACCACTGACCACCTTCATGGTGGAGAAGTTTTCCCAATATCTAAACCCCCCCAGGGGCAACTTGAGCCTTCATCTGCCTCCTCCACCATGGTCATAGTGGCCCTGGAGGACACAAGGTAGGACACAAGGAAGGAGACGAGGTGGGACACAAGGGAGGACACAAGGAAAGACACAAAGAAGGACACAAGGCAGGACACAAGGGAGGACACAAGGCAGGACACAAGGGAGGACACAAGGGAGGACACAAGGCAGGACACAAGGGAGGACACAAGGAAGGACACAAGGGAGGACACAAGGCAGGACACAAGGAAGGAGACGAGGTAGGACACAAGGGAGGACACAAGGAAAGACACAAAGAAGGACGCAAGGGAGGACACAAGGAAGGACACAAAGAAGGACACAAAGGAGGACACAAGGAAGGACACAAGGCAGGACACAAGGAAGGACACCTTCAGCCCTGGCTGCTGGGAAAGCCAAACTGCTGCTGTTCCGGGCTGGAACAAAGGTGTTTTCACGGCAGGAAGAGAATGAGACCCAGGAACTGCTTCAGCTCAAACCCAAGAGTTTACATTGGCTGCCAGTCAGCCCGTGCCAGCAGAGCCAGATGCCTCCTCTCCCCAGCTTGGCACGCAAAGCCACCCCTGCCAACCCCAGCTCCTGGCAGTGATGACACAGCCACAAGCACAACCCTGGCTCAGCACGCTCTGTCCTGCACCCATTCCAGGAGAGGGTTCTGCCCCCACAGCCCCAGACCCCGAGCAGTGGGGCTCCAGCCAGAGCTGCTGCCATGTCCAAATGCCAATCACTCATCAGGCGTTGCACAAAAGCTTCCCAGAAGAGGCAGAGATGAAAGCGTGGTGGGGAAGGGAGCGGGGAAGCCGATTGCCCAAGACTTCAGGGAGATCCTGGCTTGTCCAGACCTGCTAAACCAGCCTGGGGGAAAAGCAGTGACTCTGTGTGTCCAGGCCCTGCTTGGTCACCAGTGTGTGGTGGCACACCGAGGTGACACAGCTCAGAGCCACCCGAATTCTTTGAGCCAGCACAAGCAGCCGTTGGCATCACACCAGCTTTGTCTTCCCCGCTTAACGTCACGATCCAAATGTTGTGGGAAAAGCACCAGAGGGGAAGGTCCAAACCTGCTGCAGGCTCCTAGAGGCCTTGAAAAAAATGTGGAAGGATGGTTGAGGACAACCCACAAGGTTCACCAGCCGAATAACAGCTCCACAAACTATGACAAGGACACAGGTCAATGCATCAGAGTCCAAAATACACTTCCCACAAGGGACATCCCACTGGTCAAAGCACCAAAATCCCAAACCCACTTCCCACAAGGAACATCCCACAAGTCAATGCACCAAAATCCCAAACCCATTTCCCACAAGGAACATCCCACTGGTTAATGCACCAAAATCCCAAAATTACTTCCCACAAGGAACATCCCACAAGTCAATGCACCAAAATCCCAAACCCATTTCCCACAAGGAACATCCCACTGGTCAATGCACCAAAATCCCAAACCCACTTCCCACAAGGAACATGCCACAGGTCACTGCACCAAAATCCCAAACCCACAAGGAACATCCCACTGGTCAATGCACCAAAATCCCAAACCCACTTCCCAGAAGGGACATCCCACAGGTCAATGCCTCAAAATCCCAAACCCACTTCCCAGAAGGGACATCCCACAGGTCAATGCACCAAAATCCCAAACCCACTTCCCAGAAGGGACATCCCACAGGTCAATGCATCAAAATCCCAAACCCACTTCCCACAAGGAACATCCCACAAGTCACTGCACCAAAATCCCAAACCCACTTCCCACAAGGAACATCCCACAAGTCAATGCACCAAAATCCCAAACCCACTTCCCACAAGGGACATCCCACAACTCAATGCACCAAGATCCCAAACCCACTTCCCACAAGGAACATGCCACAGGTCACTGCACCAAAATCCCAAACCCACTTCCCACAAGGGACATCCCACTGGTCAACGCACCAAAATCCCAAACCCACTTCCCACAAGGAACACCCCACAAGTCAATGCACCAAAATCCCAAACCCATTTCCCACAAGGAACATCCCACAGGTCAATGCACCAAAATCCCAAACCCACTTCCCACAAGGAACATGCCACAGGTCAATGCACCAAAATCCCAAACCCACTTCCCACAAGGAACATCCCACAGGTCAATGCACCAAAATCCCAAACCCGCTTCCCACAAGGGACATCCCACAGGTCACTGCACCAAAATCCCAAACCCACTTCCCACGAGGGCCATCCCAAAGAAGCATTCCCCTGCTGCAGGGAAGGCGGTATCATCCACTGGAGGTGCACCTCGGTGCCTAGCCTGGTGACTCAGAAGAGCACTGAGATTGCTGGGGCCTCGTCAGTGCCGTGCTGTCCCCGTGGGGTGGACTTGGCCCCGTGGGACGCGCGGTGCTGGCCCCGCTGTGGGACACAGCCTCGTTTGCTGCAGCCTTTGCGTGACTCCTGCGCCCCAAAGGCTGGCTGGGTGTGCTGATAAGGCTGCAATAAGCAGGAGCAGATAGGAAGAACACAGGGATTGTTTTTTCCCCCCTTGCAGATGAGAGTTTTATAGCCCTGGGGCAGATAAGCAGCTTAATATTAACAACTGTGGTGTGGAACAGCCTCTTGCTGGTGGGAGGACTACCCAAGCTCCATTCCTAGAGAGCTGAAGAAGTCACCTCTGTGTCAGGATGGAGCAGGGGAAGGGAAGAGAAGAGGCTGGAGGAGAGAGACATGGGCAGGGAAATTATCCTTGCCTTCTCTTCATGAGGCGTGAGGCAAAGCAGCCACTTTATAACTCCCTGCCAACATTTAGCACCTCTCCCTCTCCTGATACCTATGGAACCAGCCCATGGAGCTGTGGAAGACCTTTCCAGGTATTCCACAAGGCAGGAGGGACCCCTGAGGCCTTTCTGCATGTTCAGCACTCCTTGGACATCCCTTCCAACAGGCCAGACCCCAGGAGAGGCTCCAGCTTTCCTGCTCTAGTCCAGAAAATCACAGCATGGAATCTCCTGAGCTCGAAGGGACCCCAAGGATCATCAGTCCAGCCCCTGCACAGACACCCCAACAATCCCACCCTGTGCCTCAGAGCATGTCCAAACACTCCTGGAGCTCTTGGGGCCGTGTCCATTCCCTGTTCAGTGCCCCACCACCCTCTGGGCAAGGAGCTGTTCCCTGGTATCCAGCCTGAACCTCTCCTTTTCACCACGGCTGCTGTGAAAGCCTCAGCAACTCACAGCAGGTGAGAGGCTCCAGCTCCCCTATCTTTGCCTGCCCCTAATGACCTTCCTCAATTAAGCCCTCCAATTACTCCCCGGGCAGTCTGCGAGCACCACGGTTTCGTTACTGGAATCAGGGCTGTGATAAGCCAGGGAAGCTTTGATCACTCCATGGAAAATTGCTTTTATGGATGGTTTTAAAGTGAGTCATGAGTCCAGCCGCGGCAGCAGGGCTCCAGCTCCACTTCCAAATGCTGCCAGCACCCTCATTCCTGTAGGACAAGCTCTGGGCAGACACAGGCTTCTCCCTCTGGCTGGGACACCTGCCTGATGCCAGCGCTCGGGCTGCTGGCATCTCCTCTCTGGGGAGTCAGTCCCTGGCCCCAAAATGGGCCAAAACAACCACTTGTGACTCTGCTGAGTGGAATAGAGGAGTTGCTCTAACACCCAATAGCCTTCCCAATTAAAAGTGAGCCCTGCATCTCTAATTTCTGTCCTTTGGCTGTTTGGGATCTGTTATCAGGAGTCATCTCCCCGTGGGGATTAATAAGTCTCACTTTTGCTGTTTGTCCCCAGCACTAATGACAGAGGAAAACCCCCCAATGCCACCATTGGGATCTGTTATCAGGAGATAATCAGGATCCCAATCCTCCCCGTGGGGATTAATAAGTCTCACTTTTGCTGTTTGTCCCCAGCACTAATGACAGAGGAAAACCCCCCAATGCCACCTTTTTCTTTGCATCTACACAGGCACAGAACTCCACACTGGTTTCTGCCTTTTGGGAGGAATAAAAATCTCTGCTCAGCCTCCCTGAGCAGCTTCTGGGGTGCTGGAGCTGGTGGGTGAGGAAGCTGCTGGTTCTCCAATCCATCCTGCTTGGCCCTGTGGGTGGAGCCGAGCTGGATCCAAAGGAGCTGGGCACATTAAACCCAGCACGTGGCTCTGCTCCAGCAGCGCTCCCAAATCAGCCCGAGCCCTTTTCCCTCCTGCCACCCTGCCCTGCCTCCTCCTGGAGGGAAGGAGGCTGAGTTTGGAACGATCGATCGCCCAGTGCCATCGCAGGTACAATGTACCTGTGAATCAGAGGGCAAGGATGGAGTTTGTCCCCAGGCTGAGAAGGGAACAGCAGAGATGCAGAGATAGCTCCTCCCTGCACGCAAAGCCCTGCTCAGGAAAAGCTCTGGGATCCCAGGAATTCCCTCAAACCGGGCTGCACACCCACCCTGGCAGGATTTTCCTTGGGCTGAGAGATGGGAGCACCAGGGACCACCAGGTCCCACGAGCACTGGCAGAGTGAGCCAAAAGCCTCTGGGATGGTGGATGCTCCTCAAACTCTGCAGGATGTGGGCTGGAGAGCTGGGATGCACTCGGGGCTGGCTGTGCCCTGGGTGTCCCCAAGGCTGGCCCTGGTGGCAGCACGGCAGTGGGAGGTGGGGTCACACAGAGGGACAGGCTCTCATGTCCCCCCCACAGCAACAAGTCCCCACTCTCACCCCTAAAATCATCTCCCCTGACCCCTGTCA